TTACGTAGTATGGATAAAAATACCTGGAAATACCTAGAAATACTTAGCAATACCTGGAAATACATAGAAATACATAGAAATACGGAAATACAGAAATACGCTTTTCCCCCCTAGTTCTGATATCACCAAAACTAAGATCAGAACCTTCTTCGCTTATATATGCCCACTCTGCCTTCTCATAGACACACAAAGCAACTACATATTGTTTCACATTTAAATCATATAAGGATTGTGCTAACAACTTCTTTTTGTCTGATTTAGTTATTTTCGATCGACATCATTTGGAGTTGGAATCGGTGTTCCTGGTGTAATTAATGTTGCAGTAGGGTATAGTGAAACATTGAAACAAATTCAAGAAGCCATAACAAAAAGTGAGAAAGCCGTCGGAATATCAACAATATGGTGGGGTCTTTATTCAGTTCAACTTGCTCCGCCTTTTCTTCTTAAGTACAATTTTTTGCACATGAAATGCATATTACTTCAACTAAATTTTTTTTTTTTTTTTTTGTTAGATTGGATCCAATTTTTATTCAAAGTGTTGATTTATTAGCATCTGAAGCATCGAATCCATCTAATGAAGAAAATCAAATATATTATAATCAATTTATTGAAACATTTGGAACACATTATGTTTCTCGTATTATAGTTGGTGGTACAGCTCATTTATATACATTAATGGACCAAAGTTATTACAAAGAATCTTCATATGAAGAAAGAACAAGTCAAGTTAGTTTAATGTTTCAATATAAACAATATAATGGTCAAATTGGATCCAATTCAAATGAAATTTGGGCTTCAATGAAAGAAAAATTTAGGACTACTTCATCTACATTATCTATTTTTCGACCTCCAGTAGCAAGTAAAGAAAATAAATCAGATTGGGAGTAAGTATTAAATAGAACTCTTCTAATCTGTAATAAATATTTTCTTTATAGAACATGGCAAAATGTAGCTGGTAATTATCCAGTTGTAATTAATCGAACATTATTTTCTATTCATGATTTAATCAAAGATAAACCAACGGTTCGAGAACATTTACGTAAAACAATAGAATTTTATTTACAAAAAGGCGTAATGCCAACATTAGCTGAATTGAATGGTCAAAGTAAAAGTCGTAATTCTTTAATATCACCAAAACCTCAAGGTTCTATAATTGGACTTGATGTTGTTGGTTGTGGATATGATCCTCTTTTGTTAGAAAGTAAATATTGTATATTTGATCAAAGTAATTTCACTGAAAATGAACCATGGTCAGATCCATATAATAAAACATTAATGTATTCAATACCTAATGGATGGTTTGCTGTTAATACTCCTGAATCATTGACATTGGATGGTTCAATTTTAGTAACATCTGTAGAAGATTATTTTCGTCAGACAAGAACAGTTACTGTTAGAAAGTCAGGTGGTTTTATAGGTATTGGACAAAAACGTATTCAAAGAACAGTAACTGAATTTTATCGTCGTTTCTATCAAGATTATTATAATTTAGTACTTCGAATGAAACAAATGGGTTGGTATACATTATCAGTATCAGCATTTCCATATCCAAAATTAAATCCAACAGCTCAAGTCGCCTTTGATAATTTACCAACACATTTTGATGTAAAAGATTTAAAAATTTGGCAAGATTTTTTCGATATATTTGGAACACATGTTGTTGTATCATCTAATATGGGTGGTCAAGTTTGGGCAGAAACATGGTATGAAAAATGTTTAACTTATGAACATACACAAACATGGATTGATGAACAAGTAACAACGAATTGGTTATTTTTCATATCAAGCAGAGGTACACACGATTATAGACAACAAGTCGATGAACGTTTTCGACAATATNTCTCATAAGTACTAAACTTTGAGCCCACAGTGGCGACGCTAATAAGTTTTTGTAATTAAAAGGATCCTTTGAGGAAACCGAAGCGATTTTGAAAATTGGAAAAAGAATTTTCACGATTTTTGACGTTTACATATAGAGTTGAACTCATTGATTTGAAAATTTTCATTAGCTTTTTTATCTGAAAATTTCTCTATTTCTGAGGTTTCAGCTGAAAATTTTCAAATCAATGAGTTCAACTCTATATGTAAACGTCAAAAATCGTGAAAATTCTTTTTCCAATTTTCAAAATCGCTTCGGTTTCCTCAAAGGATCCTTTTAATTACAAAAACTTATTAGCGTCGCCACTGTGGGCTCAAAGTTTAGTACTTATGAGACTCAGACTGCTAAAAATTTATATTATATTCCTAAAAATATATGGAAAAGTTTATCCTCAAAAGATATCAAATAAATGGATAGATAGCAACTAATTCTATCATTTGAGTTAGAGCATACACTATAAATCTTTATCTCAACGAAACTACTTCATTTCGAATTAGTACCTCTCTCTTCGCTCCACTTATCAGATTTCTTGAATATGCTTATTATATTAATAAAACCAACGAAGAATGCTAAATTTCTAAAGAAACATTGATCACAGTGGTTAATATATAGCAGTTTCTGTTCGTAGATTTCAAATATTTTTTTCCTAATACGTGATTTTTTTCTTGTCGCTCTTCACTGTGTTATTCTTCTGTCAATAGAGATTATAGTTATTTCGTATTATTCTACTGACGCTTGAATTTAATAGTTAAATAAGCTTAATATAGATATGTGTTGCATCTTCTCCAGATTCTAACAAATTTGTATGCATATTGATGTACAGAGTAAGACACAAAATAAATATTTCTAAAAGTTAGGAAGTAGTGTAATCAGGGTTTTATGCAACTTATATTACAGTTATGAAAGATTACAAAAGATTATCTTTCTCATAGATCGTATAAACTTTCATCTGCGCAAAAAGAGGAGGCTAGCTTCTTGCTAATACCCATAACAATATCCAAACTATGGATAATCAAAACATTCCAGAAGTTTTCACAACCTTTTAAATCTAAGTAATTGCTATTATACTCTGAAAAGAATAAAGGAGTTTTGCAAACCCATTGAAAGGGTTCTGCAGACATACAAAAGTGTCCATATAAGTCGAAAGTTCCAAAAAATGGATAAAAAATTTTCCAGATCATTTTTTTGAAACTTTCAACTTATTTGGACGCTTTTGTATGTCTGCAGAACCCTTTTAATGGTTTTTGGAAAGCTCCTTTATTTTTTTCAGAGCATCTATTGGAAAAACGGAACAAACTGAAAAACCTTGACTCAAGCTTACGGTTACTATTAGTTTCTTCGAAAATATACGTGAGCTATACAAAGCTTAAAAAACATAAGATTTAGAACAGCAACTAGAAATAACAGAATTTTCAAATAATATAGCCGCTGATCTTAATTACTCCGTATTGTTTGTTGCTCTGGGAAGATATAGTAATGCTTTTTCCATCTTCTGGCTACTATAATGATAGCTGAGAAGCTTTAGACCTTGAGCTTAAGCTTGCATTCACCGAATTCTTCGAAAATATTCGTGAATTTCGCAAAAATCGCAAAAATAAGAGAGCCACAATACAAGACTCCCCTAAAAGATTTTTCCGCTTAAACATAATAGAAGACTCGGGGTCTTTTATTATGGGGCGGGGGGGGGAGGGGGAGGGGTTGCTAATTTCAAAAAGTTGTAGCGGATTTGAATCAGGGC